ACTCAAATCACCTTTCTTCCCCATACTGATGCTCGGTTTGAACTGCAGGAGATTGTCTTGACCATGTCTACATGCCTAAATGCACTCAGTTGCCGCCATGTGATTGGCTGCTTAGAGATTAAGTGTTAACGAGCAGTTGGACAGGTGTACCTAAAGTGGCCGGTGAGTGTACAAGAAAGCATTAATGGAAACGTTTGAAATTTTTGGGGTGGAGAAGAGACAAAGCAAGTATAGTCAGTGGAAAAGGTGCATTTATTTGCCTGCAATGTCTTGCTCCATCCAAAATTGCCCTGTTTTCTCAGGATGCATTCGTCGAACGAGAATATAAGGTGCTGTTCAAAAAACGGCGCCTCAATGCCATAAAACACACCACCCAAACCTACCAGCAGCAACTGGATGAACTGAAGATGGAAGAAGAGAAGATAAAGAAACTGCTCACTTGTGAGAAAGAAGAAGAAGCAATGGTAGCTAACCCCCTGATCTTTAAAAATATGTCCAGCTGAAGACTCTCTGGCAATAATTCTTAATTTTTTAATTGACTGAACTGGTCGTTTTGGCTGCACAGCATTAGGAAAATATTCAGTGGCAATACTGCTGCTGAACATTATTCTTCCCATTGTTGTTTGACCTTCCATTGCCTCCAAATACTTTGTCCATTTCTTTTAGTAACTTCAGCAATGTTTTCAGTGTCTAGGCTGAGCATCACAGTGAGGCTCAGTCCAACAGGCTGAAAATGTATTTTTTTCTAAGCCTGTTCAACTAAATTTTGCAACGTTCTGCTCCGTATTCATTTTGAATAAACTAATATTACAGTTACTGTATATTTTCAATATATTATTTAAATCTACAAGCTGTTCTTGTTCTTATTTGTGGATATGTCTCTAGAAATTACGAGCTTTGGAGAACCGACTGGAGAAATTTCAGGTCAAATATCATGAGGCTGAAAAGATCAACTTAAACTATCTGAAACTCAAAAGTCACCTACAGGTAGGTGGACAATACACCCTTTTATCAAATCCTTTATTTGACCTCTATTTAGTGGCAGTAAGTCATTTTTTCCACTGTTTGGCATTACTGTCTGAAAAACACACTGTAGGTAAAAAAAAAAGTGGTCAGACTAACCTGACCCTATGCAAGAAATTATTTGGCCCCGGGATTCACAACAAATGTCCCCCTCAATCCATCATAACTGACAGTTATGTTATCAGTGATAGATACTCATTATATATAAAAAATACTTCTATAAACAAATGTTTATCAAATAATTATTGCACATTTCAAATGCGATAAACAGCCTAAACATGAGGACAACTTTGTTTCTCATTTGTTGATGAGTTCTTTAGATCAGGGCATGATGAGTTAAGGCTGATTTATACTCAGAAACCAGGTTAACTCCGTTGTGTGTCGCAGAGAGAGGTGCACCTCTTCAAAATTATAGGTGACTGCAGACAGGAGGCCTCTGATTGGTCAATCTACATCTGCTCTACACTATGCGTATTTCCTGTTTGGTACCTTACCGGCTTGTTTTCCTTGTATGACCG